TAGATATTTTTATTCTTAATTTAATTATGTTTTTTAGACTTTTCTTATTTTTTTTAAATTGATTAATTTTGGTTATGTTTTTAAATTTAATTTACATAGTTTGTAGATGAACGCTCGTACATAATTTTAATTCAATTTTAGAAATTTTTTTTTAATTTTTCGATGTCAGTAAAATCCGGTGCTCGTTTATTAAATGAAAATTTGTCTTTAAATGTGTCCAAAAATGTTGATTTTCTTGGTTGGTATAAACAAGTTTGTTTTATTTTGAATTTTATTTACATTTTTTAGTTGGTTACAAAGTCAGAATTAATTGATGATTATAACTTGCCTGGGTTTTTTATTTTGCGTCCATGGGCTTTTTCAATTTGGGAGTCGGTGCAGAAATACATGGGAGAACGTTTCCAAGAGATTGCGGTGAAGAATATTTCTTTACCTTTATTTGCCCCTTTTATGGATAAATTGGAAGAACGCTATGAGGATTTGTTTCCAAATGTTTGTTTTCTTTTTGAAATTTTTTTAGAAATTTACGGAAATTTTTAAGAACCTTAACTGATGTAATTTCTTGCCCGAATACTCTAAAATATGTTACTCTAATCTTTATTCAATAATTTTTGTCTTTAATTTTATTTCAAATAGGGTTCTATAGGGCTAGGTTATATTTGATGCTATAAGACCTCACTTCTATAAATTTTATCTTTTTATTAAAACCTGACCTTTATGTGCTTCTTATAAATAAATTATATACATATATTTTTATTAAATTAATTTTTAGATTTTAGACATATTTTCTCACACATGCTGGTAATGATCCAATTAAACATTCAATTGCAATAAGGCCAACAAGTGAATCTCTAGTTTATTCAGATTTTGGTAGATGGTGTAGATCTTGGCGTGATCTCCCTTTTAGAATAAATCATTGGTCTAATGCTTTGGTTTGTTTAAAAAATAAATTTTTAAAATTTTTTTATTTATTTTAGAGATGGATTGAAAATCCAATTCCATTTATTTATAGCAGAGAATTTCTTTTACAAGAGGGTTATAGTGGTTTTACTAATAGAGAAGAATCAATTGATGAAGTTTATAAAATGCTAGATATCTATAATAATATTTATAGTGATTTATTTGCAATTCCTGTTTTGAAGGGAAGAAGATCAGAAAAAGGAAAATTAAAAGGAAGTGATTTTTCTACATCAATTCAAATTATTGAACCAAATAATGGAATTGGAATTCAGGTTTTTTACTTTTTTAGATTTTATTTATTTGAATTCTTGGACTTTCGTGGGGGGAATCAAGGCGTTCATTCGGTTAATTATTGTCCATAAATTTGCTAACATATAACTTTTTTAAAGCTTATAGAAATTAAAAAATAAAATATATTCTTGGGTGTTTTTATTAGGCTAGTCTAGATTAATCCGGAATAGTCGGAGTTAGACGTTGTCGTGGTTCATCTTTAGTTTACGTACTTCTGTTTCCACAAAAATTAATTTCACAGTTGCTATTTTTCCATTCTTATTAAAATTTTAAAATAAATCTTTAAGGCTGCTTCATCCACTCATTTGGGTCAAAATTTTTCAAAAAAATTCTCTATTTATTTTGATAATCCAAAAAATCTAGGAGAGAAAGAATATATTTGGTTAACTCGTTATACTTTATCTATTCGTTCAATTGGTGCTTTAGTAATGACTTTTGGTGATGATTTTGGGTTGATTTTACCGCCTAAATTAGCTCCTATACAAGTTTAATTTAAATAAAAAAAATTTCGAAAAATTTATTTAAAGGTTGTAATTATTCCTGTTGGACTTGATAATTGTAAAAATGAAAAGGATAAATTTAATTTAATTAAAAATATTAAATTAATTAATGAGAAATTGAAAGAAAGTGGTTTACTTGTTGAAATGGATATTCGAGAGGAGGTATTAAATTCTTTTAAATTAAAATTTTGGGTTCATTTTGAAAAAATCCTTTTAAAAAGCTTCAAGAATACCACCAAGGGACGTGAAAATTCCATAAGTAAAGATTATTCTCGATTTGAGATCGAACGTTCAAACATCTCATCTGTCGGGGATTCTGCTAGATATCGATCTTGATCATTTCTCACATCCTGTCTTTTCTTATAAGGGGGAGGGAGACTCAATATTATTAAATCATTATTTTATTGTTGTATAATAAAAATATATTTTTTTTTTTATTTTTATGTTTCAAATGAAGACAAATCTGACTATTGGAAGGTTCGTTGCAACTTTTTATAAACTTAATTTTATTTTTTTAGTTAAAAGGAGTGCCAATTCAACTTGAAATTGGATTAGAGAATCTAATAAGCCGACAAATACCTTTAAATGTTCGTTTTTATAACGAGAAATGTATTCTTTGCTTGGATAATTTAGCTGGGGAATTGGAAGTTTTACTTGAAAAAATTCAAAGTGATATGCTTAAAATGTAAACTTTTTAATAGAAGATATAATTAGGTGCTCCTTTAAAGGATCGGTTACATTTAAAAGAAATACACTTTTTATATAACTATTAATTTTCTATTAGAAAAATAAAATCTAATGAAGGGAATTTCTTTAAAAGGATCTCTCTAATAGAAATCTAGTAAAGTGTTCTCTAATAGGAGAGTCCTTGCATTTAAAAGCACTGTTTGAACGAATCTCTTAATCTTCTAGGTAATATAAGGCACTTTTTAGTATAAGTTTTTAGTATAGTAGAGGACTCTTTAGGGGGTTGCTTTAAATGGTTTTTACATTTTTAGAATAATTGTCAATTTTTTAACTCTATTTTTTCTCTAGAAAAACAAAGGAATTAAATAACTGCATCGAAATGTGTCTCGATTGGGAACTTTTTATATCAAAATTGGAAAGATATTCAATTTTGCTTTCCCCTTTTTGTGGACATTTAAAATGTGAAGAATCGATTGAATCAATGTTAAATTCAAAAGGAATTAATTCAAAACTTTTAAATATTCCTTTTGAACAACCAAAAGATTATTTTGGCAAAAAATGTATTAATCCAAAATGTAAAGAAAAAGTGGAGTTTTTTGCTTTATTTGGTCAAAGTATTTGTTAAAAGAAATTTTTTTGTTAATTTTTTAAATATTTTCTTCTTAATTATTAAAAAAAGAAGATTAATTAATTAATAAATTATTAAATAAGAAGAAGACGAAAATGATAACAATTTTTTTGGTAATTAATAAATTGTCTGTTTGGCCTGATCGCCGCTATCTTTTCTTACATTTAATCAATAAAATATTTTTATTATTAAAAATGGTGGTCATTTTTATTTTTATTTATTCACATTTTGTCGACTACCCCTTTTTTAGTAGTGACATTCTCTTAAATAAATATATTTTTCTCCTTTTTTTGATATCAAATTCCGAAAAGAGAATGCAAAAATAAACAGAATAATTTCTCAATGTCCTAATTTTAAGGCCACATTTTTGGGAATAAAAAGTGTGAGTAATGTTTTGAAAGTTATTTGTTAGTCAGACTTGTACAACATCCCACCTTCCCGCCCGATACTCGCATTAATGTCAGATTTTTTCTGCACGGGAGAGGTGTCGTGTCGTACAAGTCCAACTGTAATACCAAAAATCACTTTTTAAATACCAATATGAGATAGTTTTTATAAATTTATTAAACTTCCTTATAGGTAGGCTAAATTGTGTAATTGACTCTGTTTCATCCATCTGGATTTTTCAAGTTTAGGCAACCGCAAAGTCATGTTTAAATGAAAATTCTTCTTAATACTTCTCGTATTTTCTAGTTTTTCTCTTCTTTAAAATTAATTTGGGATGATTAAAACACACTCTTCTTTTAATTTTTTGTTGGAAGAATCGGGGTAAGAAGATTAATATTTAAAAGTGTAATGAAAAATAATAAGCCAAAAAGTGTCGAAGGTCTGGGTTCGGGACCCAATCCTATAATTTAACCTATTCTTTAAACACATTTGAATTAAATAATTTTTTCCCAGATTTTTAAAAATATTTTCAAAACAAATATCAATTTAAATAAAACATTTACTAAAGAAAAAATTAATTAAAAATTCTTAAAAAAATATTGTAAACTTTTTATAACGTGTAATTTCTTTTTAATTTTGCCCTTTTTCTTCAAAAATGTGCAAATAAAGAAAACAACTTTTTTAATAAAAAAATTTCTCCCCTATTCTTTTAATTTTTGACAAAAATAATTAATTCTTTTTTTTTATCAAAAGAAATAAATTTTAATCATCCAGAAAATCTAAAAATATTTCTTCTAATTAATTTTTCTTTTCTAAAAATAAATTATTAAAAAATTCTTCCTTTTTTAATCTTTATTTTAAACAATATATCCCCCCTCCCCATCCATTATTTAATATCAACTCTCTTTATTAACATAAAACGCCTTGGGGGAAAAGAATATTTTTTTCTACATTTTCTAATCGATTGTTATTTAACACAAAGGAGGCATTTCCACCCGCCTTTTAGTTGTTCTCACTTTTAAATTTTTTTTTATTTTATAATTTTTTTTATCCATTTTCTACATATTTTTATTTGTTTTAATCCTCCCACAAAGCTTTTGAAATTTTTTAATGAAGTGGAGGAATTAAGAGAAAAAAGAAAAAAAAGTAAAAAATTTCATCCTCTTTTTAATTCTCTTTTCAATTTGCCACTTTTCACTATTTTTTATCAGAAAAACGCAACTTTTTACAGACAGAATTAGGGGGTAATACACCGTTAGGACATTTTACCGAAAGAACATTAACTCATTGAAAGACCTTGAAACTCTTTGATTTTGAACAAAACTACATCCTTTTTTTAACCAGCCTTCAATAAACTAATGAATTTTGGGGAATTTTTCAGAAAAAATCAGAATTTTCTGATTTTTTAAAATTTTATTTTGTTTTAGGTGAATTGTCTTTTCCGTGAATTTCCAACTTAATTTTCACCTAATAATTCATTTCTACTTACTCCGTTTACTCTCAAAAAATTAAGCAACTTTTCTTTGTACAGCCTTTAAATTACAAAAATGCAAGGGAATGAAATTGAAAAAGAAAAAAATAATGAAATAATTAATAAACAAACATTAAATAATAATGAAAATAATGATGAAAAAATGAATAAATTGGAGGATAGACTTGAACAAGCTGGAATTGTAAAACCTCCAGATGGAGCTTTTGGGTGGGCTGTTGTTTTTGCTAGTTTTTGTACAAATGGAATTGTTGATGGAATTATTTTTACCGGTAAATCTACTATATTTTATCCATAACTATTGTTCCGGCGTTTTTTTAGTGAGATGGTATATTTAGATATGAGAGTACCCATTTTATGGTACAGATTGGTGGCTACCCCTTCTCTCACAAATTTAAAGGAGCTGAGAGCTGTTATGCATTTTTTTTATGTTATGCATTAGGATACCGTAAATACTTTATTAATTACCCTGGGTAATTAATAGTGGCGGGGTAATTATTTGAGTGAGGGTAATTAATAGAGTATATACGGTAATTGTGAAATAGGATATTATGGGCATTATAAGATACAAGTGTTCAGCCCCAAAGGTTCGACATGGAGGTTCAATTGTATTACCAAAAGGATACCCAATTGTACTATTATAATTTAACAAAAATTTTAAATTAAAGTCAGTGCAAGTCTAGTACCCCGTTGGGAACGTTTTTTCAACAACAACACAGTAACTAATGTAACTTCTCTTTTGGCTGGCTTTTATTTACTTTCTGGCCCTTTAGCTTCTGCTTTGGCTAATTCTTTTGGTTGTAACACTGTTGCCGTTGCTGGTTATTTTAAATAGGAAATTAAAAAAGAAATTTTAATTAGGGGCTTTTATTGCTGCAATAGGCTTTCTTGTTAGTGCCTTAATCCCTGCTTTGCCTGTTTTGTATGTTGCTTTTGGAATTATTGGGGGTTTGAAAAAATTGGAAATTTTCTTTAGAAAGTAGTCTTTTTAGGAATTGGTTTTGGACTTGTTTTTCTCCCCGCAATTGTTATTGTGGGGCAATATTTCTCAGAAAAAAGAGCTTTGGCAACGGGAATTGCTGTTTGTGGTTCTGGTATTGGAACTGCTATTTTTGGGCAGGTAAATGAATTAATGAAACTTTAAATTTTCTTTGAAATTTTGTAAAATTTCTGTTCTAATAGCCACCTATTGTGATCACCTTCATCCTATTGTTCTCTAGTAAAAATAGTTTTTGACTGGGATTTAGTAGAGGTTAATGACTGAAATTAATAGAAAAACTCTACAACAAGATGGTGACCGATAGTATTTACACAAGGTTGTCGGATCTCCGGATCCGAAAAAAGGCCGGATATCCGGAAATCTTCGGTTTGGATATCGAATCCGGATATCCGAAGATTTCCAACTATCCGATAACTTTAATAGTAGTACATATACATTTCTTTCGGATCTTTTTCTCTGCTGAGACGAGATAAATTAATCTGTGTGGATCTCGGTCTGATAATTATCGACCTACTAAAGAATATTCTTTATTGAAAGGGGCGATTATTAGAATAAATTATTTGTGGATGTGGGTATTGGAGAGGAAAATACTCTTAATTCAACCAATTAATTGTACAAATAAATTTTGTTTTCAAGATTAATCCAATAATTCTCGATCATTTTGACAAACTTGTTGGTGAAGAAGATAGTTGGCGTATTTTTTTACTTTTTCTTTCTGCAATAACCCTAACTTGTGCAATATTTGGTTGCTTCTTTAAACCTTTAAAACCTTCAAAATCGCAACTTGAACAAGTGAAAATTTGAAAGAATTTTAATAAAAAAAAAACTTTTTTATAGTAAAGGTGGTTAAAATTGCGAGTGAATTTATGGGAAAAGGTGGAAATAATGAGGAAATAATATTGAGAGAGGAAAATGAAGAAAATAGTAAAATTATTAGAAGGCCTTCTGACACTACAAAAATTACTCAAGGAGTGGAAATTGAACGGTGAATTTTTTGTAGCTTTACAGTATAGTTCAAATAAAAAGAAGGCTATATTTTTTTAATGGTTTTTAACCCCTAGTTTTGTTAAACCTCCCCAAAATGGAGCTCTTTCACGTCGACGAGTAGATTCATTTTCACAAAGACCTTTTTTATCAATACTTGAATTGTTGGCTAGTCGACATGCACTAGTTGGTGATTATTTTTAAATTTTTATTTTTTTATGAGTCCAATTAATTATTAAAATTTAAGAAAAAAAAAACAATTTTAACTTGCTCAATTTCTTTAACTCATTTTCCAATATACGGAGAGAGAAAAAGAAACAAACAAAAGAGTAGGGCGTTTAAAGTAAATATTTACTACGCTAGCACAGCGACATTTATTTTAAATAATTTTCCTCCCTTCTTTATATAAAGAAGAAAAGAGGTTAAAAATGTTCATTCCAAATGGACATATACTAAAATTGGAACAATACAGAGAAGATTAGCATGGCCCCTGCGCAAGGATGACACGCAAATTCGTGAAGCGTTCCAAATTTTTTCTCAAATCAAAAAATAATTTTTTGGATTTGTAAATTGGAGAGTAGAGATTAATTTAAATTAAATAATTCTTTAATTAAATTAGGACCAATCAAGCACTTCAAATGCCAATTTGGCAAGAAAAGTCAGCAAAGTTGGAGTTATCGACCTAAATCGCCCCCTTAGCCGAATGGATGTTTTCTACACCGGATCAACTCAAAGTTTGGCAAAGAGAACACAAAACAGAATGCCAAATTTTAGCGAAAATAATTTTTTTGAAAATAAACAAGAAGCAAAACCTTCAATTGGAAAATCTAATCTTTATTTGAGTGCTGCTGGTTTACATACTTTGGAAGGGGCGGCAAAGTCTGGAATTGTTTCCTCTAAATGGACTAATAATATTATTTCTGTAAATATTTTTTTATTTAAAATAAGAGAGCCCTCACTCCACCTTAATAGACTAGGAGAAAAATTATCTAAAATTTTTCCTTCGCTATTAAAATACCTTATTATATTCGGGTTTATCAGAGATATAACAAAGTTGAGAGCACAAGAATAACACTTTATCCAATGTAGAAAGTTACAATAAAGGCGGAGATGGAATTGGACCTTCAATAAAAATAGGAAACAAATACACAATGTTATTAGATTAAAAAAATAAATTTCAATTTTTCAGTCCCTTCGTTCAATGCTTGATTTGGGCCTTTTACAAAGCCCAACATTTCTTGTTTTGGCAATTAGTGGTTTCTTAACACTTTTTTGTTTTTTTGTGCCCTTTGCTTTTATTGGTGAATTAGCTGCTAATAAAATATCTTCAACAACAACAACAACAAATAATTTTAATAAAAATGATACAAATAATTTAAATAATTCGGAAAGTGGTTCTGCTTCCCAATTACTTTTGGTTCTTCTTGGTAAGAAAGATATAGAGAAATTGAGGGACATTTTCTTGTTTTTAGGCCTTTTTAACGTTGTTGGGCGTGTTTTATGCGGGTAATTTTTTAATTAAAACAAAAATAACATTGAAGGGATAGTTGATATATTTTGAATTTTAGTGAAAAAAAGATGAGAAGCACCTATTCTTATTCCCAAATAATTTACGAGTTCAGAAAATTAATTTTACCAAATAATCACTCCTCTATTTATAATAGGACCATTGATACCCTATTTGACGGTAAATCTAATTTTGTTTTGAGAGGAAACTTGATTGTGGTTACTACTTTTCGCTATAATCGGGTTGATAATATCATCAAGGGTGGGTTTAGTCATGTGTCTTGAGAGAGGCAAGAGACTCTCTTGCTTTAAGAGATCTCGTGTCTTGTATTTTGAAGGACGAGGCCCATCCCTGATGTCCATCCGGATGCCGTATAACACCTGAATTGACTACAATTGCCACTCCTCATGCCATTACCCGAATAACACTAAAATACCCACAGATATATGTACCTAACAACGTCATTAATATATTTGTCATTCCCTTGCTAATTTCTTCTTCTCGTTTAGTTACATTTCCGATCACCCAAAAGTCGATCCTTTAATTGTTTCAAATATTGCTTTAATTATTGGCGGAATAGCTACAGCAATTGCCCCTTTACTTAATCAACTTTGGATGTTTGCTATTTATTGTTTTCCTTTTGCTTTTGGTGCTGCCAGTTTTGCAGCTTTACGTTCAATTATTTGTGTTGAATTACTTGGTATTGAACGCCTTTCTAGTGCTTTTGGAATGTTAATGCTTTTTATGGGGTAATTTTTGGAAAGAATTTTTTTGGGAAAATTTTTTTTTAATTTTCAGAGTTGCTGCTCTTTTTGGTAGGGATTTTTTCCTTTTTTATTCTTTAGTTGAAATAATTTTTAAAATATTCTGATTTGTATTTTGCACTCCATAGTCTGTCCACACCTTTTTCAATACTCTGTCTAGATATATTAGGAAAGAAAATTTCTCGAGTAAGGTTCGGGTCGAAAAAAGTCCAGGGTTTTGGATAACCCGTCCCATGCCCTGCCAAAGAGATGCGAAGGAAAATAAAAAGCGAATAGACGGAGATTTCCTTCGCAACTTTTTTAAAACGCAAAAGATCCATCCATGTCTCTTTGGGATTTTACTTGCCCTATTTAAAAGTTTTTAATCTAGTACAAATCAGAATCCCCAACTTCTTTCAAAAATTTTAAAAATATTCTTTTTTTAAAGGCCCTCCATTTGCAAAATTATTAAAAAACTTTACGGGTAGTTATGGACTATCATTTCACATTATGGGTATAATGATGGTTGTTAGCGGGGCTATGTGTATTCCTTTAAGAAAAATAAATGTTTGGGAAGAAAGAAAAAATAAAATTAAAAAATTTGGACAAACAAAAAATGAAAAAGGAAATAATGATGATGAAAATATACCAGAATTACAACCTTTAAATTAAAAAAATATTTTTAACAAATATTACAGGGTTCCTTTATTGTTATGTATTTTTTAACAGAAAAATAATTATTGGAGGAACTCTTTTCTTTTATAATTTTCATTTTATTGCAATAATAATTAAATATATTAATTAATTAAAATAAATATTTTTGGAAATCGAAAAAGGCTATATTAATTTTATTTTCAAAAGATAAACTCGGAAGAAATATGAGGAAATTTTAAATTAATTTCAAATTATAAGGCAAGGGATGGTCATATTGAAACTCCATAAATTTTAAAAAAACTACTAGATAATTTTGATTTGTTTTCACAGATAACCTCAAAACCTAAAAAAAATAGTTTACTTTATAGTAAATATCAGTTTGCTATATAAATAATTAACCATATATTCTGTGTTTTTATAATCGCGCATCAAAGTTGACGTAATAAATGGAAATAATAATTCTAAGCCCTGCGGCTACGGAATTTCAGTAGTGCATTTGTTCTATTGAGGAAAATCATTTTTTATGTTTTGAACCAATGTTATTTCTGTCACTATAATCCCGGTAAATATATATCCGTATTCTCTCCCAGATATTTTCTCCAATCATATTTAAGAAATTAAAGTAATTATCCATCAAACATTATAAACAATGATCAAAGAATGTTTTTGATAAAAAAATTAAAAAAGGGGGAAAGAGAGAAAGGGAAGGATAGGGGAGGAGGAGTGGAGAGGGGAGGGAAGGGGAGAGGAGAGGAGAGGAGAGGAGAGGAGAGGAGAGGAGAGGAGAGGGGGGATGATGAGGTAGGGAGATAGTCGAGTTGGATAATATTCAAAAAATTGCCCTTATCGACTATAAAGTCGATAAGAGAAATTTTAAATATAATGTATAACCCTTACCCTTCATCCTCCCCTATCCTATCCTTCCCTTCCCCTCCCCTCCCCTCCCCCCTCCCCTCCCCATCAGACGTGGGCGAAACGTTTCGTTTCGTTTCGTTGTTTCGTATGTTTCGTATGATTTTTACTGTTTCGTCTCGTTTCGTTACGAAACACTTTTAAATTTGTTTCGTTTCGTTTCGTTACGAAACACCTGTGATTTTTCAACGAAACGAAACAATTTTTTAAGCCTAAACTAAGGCCAAAATCTATAAAATTTACCATCTTTTATTGAAAATTTAAAAAATTTTCGCCTGCGGCGCTGAAAAAAAAAGAATTTCGGCTTCTTGGCTTTCCCAAATTGTCAAAATTTTCGCCTGCGGCGCTGAAAAAGGAAGATAGCAATTACTTATATACTACAAATCCGTTTATACTCTACTCCCTAATCCACATATACATATTACTTAATAGACGACAAATTCTATTACCGGACTCGCATCATAATTTAAAAATTGCGGATTGCGAGTTGCGGAAATACTGGAACCGGAACTTCCGGCGAAGCACTAGCTTATATCGCCTTCCTCTCGAAATGGAGATATGGAGACAATTTGGGTAGGCAATGGAGCAAGCTAGTGAATTTTTTGGCCTACGGCCTTTCAAAATTTTAAAATTTTTCGTCTGCGGCGCTTAAAATAAAATTTTACTTGAAAAATATTCAATCTTATTTGAAAAAAAGCGTCGCCAAAAATTCGGCTTCGAAAATGATTGACCCCCCCCCCCTTCCCCGAAAATTTTCCTTGCTACGGGCCTGGCTTATGGGACACAATTGTTGTAAATAAACCAATAACTAAATCATTTATAATAGAGCCCGGCTCGATACGATATTTTTTCGATATTTTTCGATATATATTTTTCGATATTATCGAAAAAATATCGACCGAGAAAATTTTGATTTTTTCGATATTTTTCGATATTCGGTATTTTTCGGTATTTATCAAAAAAATATCGACCGAGCCCTCCGTCCGGGCTCTAATTTATAAGGCATAGGCGACTAATAAAGTATTTGAGGTCGAATAATTGCGAAATAAATGCAGTTTTGAAAATTTTTTGAATATTAAAATGTTTCGTTTTGTTTCGTTTCGTTTCGTAAGATTTTGGTTGTTTCGTTTCGTTTCGTTAACGAAACGATTTTTAAAAAATTTTGTTTCGTTTCGTTTCGTCAGAAAAAAATTTTGAGTTTCGCCCAGGTCTGCTCCCCATTAATTTTAAAATTCTTAATAAAATTAATTTTTTTCTTTTAAATTAATGTTTAAACTCTTAATTTCATAATTTAAGTTTTTAAATAATTTCTTTTAAAAACAAATAATTTAAGGGGATTAATTTTTAAAAAATTTAAATGTTTTTTATTTTCATTTTGTTTCAACTTTTACCAACTTTAATTTATTCACAAATTGAATGCGATCTGTGTGGATATGAATTTAGAGGTGTTAAAGAAGAAATATTTTTAAATGATGTTCATCCAACATCTGTTAGTATTAGTTTTTTTGAAAACAAAGAATTAAATTAAAAATAAAAAAAATATAATCTAATCGCGAAATTTTTCTCTCTGTGGAATTTTGTTTTTCCAAGGCGAAAATTTGCTTTATCTCATGGAAAATGGTGTTCCCCTCAAACTGGAATTTCACTTTCTTTAGAAAATTCCGTGTTAAATTAAGACATTTGAGGTTTCACTCGGAAAAGCCCGTCGAGCTCTGTATATGGTGGCAATCTTACCTCGCTCGCGCTGGCAAAAACTTTGTTTCCACGGAGGCCACATATAAAGAGGTAAAACAACAAGTTTTATCTTTCTTAGTCAAATCATAGTGAGTTGATTCAATTTCATAACCTCTTTCAAATATTTTGACTCCAGAGTGGATATAATAGATTTTCAAATAAGGAGTAAAATTCCAATTTGAGGGTTGAGTGTCCTTTTGCTTGAGAGCAAATTTTCGACTTGAATACAATCTTCAAGAGAACTAAATTCCGTAGAGAACAAGTCTACAAAAAGTAAAATTCAGGATCCGAACCTAAGCGAAGAGATTATACTTGAATATGATAATGCAAAGATTGGATCTGGAAGCTTTTCTCAGGTATTCAAAAATATTTATTTTTGAAATTAAAATTCTTTTTCCTATAAATAGCAAAAGGACATGAGAATATTTGCCAAAAATTAAAAAACGATTATCGTAATAATTAGGGCTGGCATATTCTTCGTCAAAATACATATATAATTGTTTAAAGACCATTACGTATATTTAATTGTGTCCGCAAAAAAATCCGCAAAACTCCGTAGGGATAACCGACAAGTACCATTTTTTGTCAGAATTTTAGTTATACTTTTTCAAGCGCTAGAAATAATTAGTGAATAAAAATAGGTAATATAATTTAAGGTCTATCACGCAACATTAAAAGAGGGTTATACCCTCGGAGGAAAAAATCGGGAAGAATTGGGATGTATTGGATTAAAGAAAACAATTATGACTAATGAAACGAAAAATTTGGAGTCTATTGAATTAATGCAAAGAAATGAATGGGAAATTTTACTTTTATTTAGTGGATTGGGAGAAGAAAATAATAAAGGAATTATCAAACTTTATGCAGCGTTAGCTTTAATTTTTTTATAAAAACTCTTGTTTCATTTAATTTAAAATATCAGGGACTAATTTTTAAAATTTAGTAACATTGATCATACTCCGACAGAACGAATTCTTTATTCATTGTTAGAATGGGGAGGTGGTGGAAACTTTAGAAATTATATTAATTATAAACATGATGAATGGGGAAGTGGAAGTAATTGGCAAATTGATGACAATAAAATTTTTGAGGTTATTAAAGACCCTGTTCTTGTTATGGGAGAATTGCATCAAAGTAGAGATTTTTAAAATTAATTTTCTAATATTTTTTTGATATCATAATAACTTTTGAGATTTTTACTAATGTCCAGCGCCGGACCTTTTTGACGGATTTCTTCAAGTTTCGAGGGTTTTCGCGACTTCCGGATTATTTTCGGACCGGATTAATACAAAAACCGGCCTGATCCGGTCCAGTATGACCAAAAATCCACTATCCGGCTTTGAACTCGGAAAGAGGATTTTGCTGGACATCAACATAAAAATCCTTGCCTTAATTATAAACGAATATTAAAATAGCTTTCAAAAATTTTACATTTATTTTCAAACAAAAAAGATAACTTCTAAAGACAATTTAATATCCGCACTTTTATTAATAATTTCATAATTAATATTATTAAGAAATAATACATTTGGACTTTAAACCAGACAATCTTATTTATGTTGCGAGAAACGAGGAAACAAGTTTAAAAGCAATTGATTTTGGAGGAGCTAAAATTTTTGGTATTAACGACCAGCAGCGTTCCTATCATTCAGTAAACATCCAAAACCAGCTTTGTATAATTTCTGAAAATTCTCCACTTTCAACTAAAGCTTATCGAAGTCCTGAACACAGAAATTTACTTTGTCGTCAACATAATATTTGCCCTGTACATGAACAGAGATGCCCAGAAAATAATACTTTATGTCGAAAGCATGAAAAAAAATGTCGT